TTGCCTACTATTTTACTTCCAACTTTTGTAAGTCACTTGTTTTAATTTTCTCCCCTAAACACAAGATACTTTTGGTTTTATTTTCAAATTTAATCTGTTTTAATAGACTAATTAATTCTTCTTATACTAATTAGTATGACAGATAAGTTTTCTTGTTTTTAATTCTGTAACCTTTTGATTTTTTCTTGATAAAATTAAGGGAATAGATAAAACCACTAGATTTCAGTCACATTTTTATTAAACTGTAAGAGCCAGAGGGGCTGCTTTTCTATTTTATCTTCTGCCTTCTTATCTTCCATGCTCTTATTCCTTGATTTAATGCAGGAGGAAATTATCTATGGATATTTATAAATGCTTTCTTTCTTCCATTCTTCTATGTTTTACCTATTTATTCATATTTGTTTAGGATTTAAAATGGGAACGGTGATTTTATTCCTCCCTTTCAACTCAGAAATCTAAACCTATAATTTTTAATGGATACTTGACAAATCATATTATAGATGTGCGATACCTCTTCATCCTCTTTTGCCTAGTTATTATTTTTTACTGTTAGTTGCATATAATATGGAGGAAGACAGGAGGCACATTGTTATGTCTTCAGTGATTAGAGTCTCTAAAGGACTTTGTCCTGCCCTGTATGTGCAATTAAGGTAGAAATAATCAGGGTGTTTATAATCATGTATTATTAGAAAGTGACTGTTGTAATAAACTCTTCTTCAGTGCAGCTATGAGAAGTCTGTCTCTCTCCACTTTTACTAGAAAGGCATATGAAGCTATAGGTCTAAGCAAGAATTAACCTCAGCTGAGCCAGAAGAGTCACTTTCTGCCTAATAGCCAAGAAACACATACTGTATTCCCAATGATTCCAGATCAGGTTCTCTGGAGAATTTAAAGTGATGACTAGAATTGTTTGAGGGAATTACCCTTACCCAAAGGCGTGAGTAGAAAGAGAAAGATTAGGTCATAAGAACACACTAATTTTAGATCAAGCCAAGTGATTAAAGCAGTGATTCCTATGAAGATAATGTTTAGTTTTAGAACAGAAGAAAATCTTGAATGAATTGTAAAGTTGTATGATTTCATACCACAATGGAACAATCAAAAAACTACAAAGTGAATAGAGTTTTATAAAATGGAAAACATGGTTTTATTAGTCTGTTTTCATGCTGCTGATAAAGACATACGTAAGACTCAGTAATTTACAAAGAAAAAGAGGTTTAATCGACTTGCAGTGTCACATGGCTGGGGAGGCCTCACAATCATGGCAGAAGGTGAAAGGCACATCTTACTTGGTGGCAGACAAGAGACAATAAGAACCAAGTGAAAGGATTTTCCCTTATAAAACCATCATATCTCATGATTCAATTATCTTTCACTGGTTTCCTCCCACAACATGTGGGAATTATGGGAGCTACAATTCAAGATGAAATTTGAGTAGGAACATAGCCAAATCATATCATTTCACCCCTAACCCTTCCCAGATCTCATGTCCTAACATTTCAATACCAATCATGCCTTCCTAACAGTTCCCCAAAATCTTAACTAATTTCAGTGTTAACTCAAAAGTCCAGTCTCATCTGAGACAAGGCAAGTCCCTTCTCCCTGTGAACCTGAAAAATCAAAAACAAGTTAGTTACTTCCTACATACAATGGGGACACAAGCTTTGGGTAAATACAGCCATTCCAAGCGGGAGAAATTGGCCAAAACAAAAAGGCTATGGGCTCCATGCAAAAATTCAAAATCTAGGGGGGCAGTCAAATATTAAAACTTCAAAACGATCTCTTTTGACTTCATGTGTCATATCCAGCTCACATCAATGTAACAGGTGGATCCCAATGGTCTTGGGAAGCTCTATCTCTGTGGCTTTGCAGGGTACAACCTCCCTGCCAGCTGCTTTCACAGGCTGTTGTTGAGTGTCTGCAGCTTTTTCAGGTGCATGGTGCAAGGAGGGGCTGCCATGAAAACTTCTGACGTGTCATGGAGATATTTTCCCCATTGTCTTGGCAGCTAACATTTGGCTCCTGGTTACTTATACAAATTTCTGAAGCAAACTTAAATTACTCCACTGCGAATGGGTTTTTCTTTTCTGTTGTATCATCGGGCTGCAAATTTTCTAATCTGTTATGCTCTATTTCTCTTTTAAAATTGAATGTTTTTAATAGCACCCAATTCACCTCTTGAATGCTTTGCTTGTTAGAAATTTCTTCCACCAGTTACTCTAAATCATCTTTCTCAAGTTCAAAGTTTCACAAATCTCTAGGGCAGGGGCAAAATGTCACCAGTTTCTTTACTAAAACATAGAAAGAGTCACCAGATCCCAACAAGTTCCTCATCTCCCTCTGAGACCACCTCAGCCTTGATTTCATTGTCCATAACATTATCCACGTTTTGTTCAAAGCCATTCAACAAGTCTCTAGGAAGTTCCAAACTTTTCCAAATTTTTCTGTCGTCTTCTGAGTCCTCCAAACTGTTCCAGCCTCTGCCTGTTACCCAGTTCCAAAGCAGTTTTCACATTTTCTGGTATAATTACAGCAGTGGCCCACTCTACTGGTACCAGTTTACTGTATTAGCCCATTTTCACACTGTTGATAAAGATATACCTGAGACTGAGTAATTAATAAAGAAAAAGAGGTTTAATGGACTTACAGTTCCATGTTGATGGTGAGGCCCCACAATCATGGCAGAAGGTAAAAGGCAAGTCTTACATGGCAGACAAGAGAGGATAAGAACCAAACAAAAGGGATTTCCCCTTATAAAACCATCAGATCTCATGAGACTTATTCACTACCATGAGAACACCCCATGATTCAATTATCTCCCACTGGGTCCCTCCCACAACACCTGGGAGTTAAGGGAGCTACAATTAAAGATGAGATTTGGATTGGGACACAGCCAAACCATATCAGTGGTGTTTAAATTTAAAATTTCAATGAAGAAACTCAAAACTGATATAACTAAATTATTTCTCTGGCAAGTCAGTGCAAAAATAATCGAAGACATGGATGAAAACATGAGACATGGCAATGATCCAGGGCTTCCTAAAAAGAGAGAAGGGCAGCTGAACAAGAAGAAATGATCAAGCAATATAAGAAAACTTGAATAACAGAAAGATATAAATCCTTAAGTAGGAAAGGTTCACTGACTTCAAAATAGAATTAATTTGGAAAGATGTACCTAGGGAATTTTCTGAATGACAGATATAGAAAAAACTTTTTAAGCCTACAGACGGAAGAGAATTAAATTGGCATCAAGCTTCTCTTGTAGGCTAAGAAAACAAACTTTTACAGAAAAGAAGTTTGATTTAAGAATTATATTCCAAGCAATTTTCAATTCTTATGTAAGACAAAAGGCAGAGTTTTAGGGACATGCCAGATAGCTAAAATTACATCCCTTTAATTTAAATAATTGAGAGAGTTCAACATAGTGAAAATTATATTAGAACAAACATTTCTATAAGACAGAGAAAGAAACAGTGACAAATCCCCTGAAACTGCTCTCATTGCTTTTGAGGAGCCCCTACTCCCACACCTTCTTGCTTTGCTTCTTGTTGGTGGGCTACTTGATTTGTATATTTCTTTTAGAATAAATATGACTGTTTTGTGTGTTTTGTTTGTTTGTTTGCTTATAAAGCTTTTATGCCAACTTTCTTGGAACATCCCTGATGGTTGCTGGAATAGCAGGTTCCTTCTTGTGATGGTACATGATGCTTCCAGCATAGTGGTAATCGGCTGGAATGATGTGATAGCTAAGAGGTGTCATTCTTTTCAGTACTCAGATATTTCCTTTTTGGAATATTCATCCACGTATGTCTATTGCCCATGTCTGCTTACTTATCAATCTCTGGTGCTCTGGTTTCCCTTTGGGTTGCAGAGAGCATATGTCCACTATAAATCAGTTTAATACAGCATTAGGTATAGGCCTCATCTTAGGCACTAAGGTGGGCAGACATCTTATTTAATTAAAAAGAAAATGTTATACCATAGAACAGTGTGTTCTGTTTAATATTTCCACAGAATGACGTAAAACTCAAGAGCCTGTATAATGGCTGGCAACTGGGTAAGAACTAGACACTCCCAGATAAGAAGGAATATCAAATACGAGGTATGGCCATAATCCACAGGGCACCACATAATTAGAGGACTGCTCAGCTTCTGTTAGTATTGAAGGATATTAAGAACCTAATATTCACTGAAATTTAAGACAAATTTCATGCACTTACTGTACTATGGTAATTTTGACTTTGCCATCAGTAACTGCTTTGGGGTGAGGTTGAAGGCCATGGGCTACCTCAAAGCTACAGCAGCACCCTAGGAGCCACTTGTAAAGTTATATAAGCACAACTCCCATGTGATCTCTTGCATTCCAAAACCTCATGGTGTAATGCTGCTGGTCCCTTGCTATTGCTCACCAAGTCATTTCCTCTTCTATTCTCTATCCTATCCCCATTCCATCATCATGGACCTTCAGCTAACTGTACGTGAGGTCTAGGTCAGTGACACACCCATGGTCGTGTGGCAGTTTGATATGGTTGGGGATGGACCAACGCCTCGTCCTCTCAAGAGTTGTCTAGGAGTTCAGCCGCTGGAGTCCATGTAGTTTTGGCAGCTACATTAGCTTTAGTGGCCATTCTTAAGAAGACATCAAATGAATGTTATGCGAGGAAAAGATTGATGAAATAAAAAGTGATTAGAATGAATTTTAACACAAAGAAACAAACTCCAAGATATGTGAAATGCTACAGTGGGAAGGATAGTGGATTGGCACTCATGCTAACAAGATGTGCTTTTTATTTAGGCGGTATAATGGTTGTTTTTTGTTATACTGCGGCAATAGCAATTGATGAGCATCCTGAAATATGAGTATCAAGTATTGATATTTTAGGAATGTTTATGTTGGGTTTAATGCTGGAAATAATGATAGTATTTTTATTAGGCGGTGATCCCAATAAAACGGTAGAAGTTCTGCCAAGAACTTCTCCAGTGAGGCTGCTGGGAAGGTGAAGTTTATCCAAGACCAGACCTCTCCAAACCCCAAGTACAGAGGATTCTTCCACGGGGTTAGGGAGATTGTGTGGGAACTAGGACTGAAGAGGACATACCAGGACCTCATGGCCACCGTGCTGAAGCAGGGCTCAAACCAGGCCATCCGCTTCTTCCTTATGACCTCCCTGCACAACTGGTACCGAGGGGACAACCCCAACAAGCCCATGAACCCACTGATCACTGGAGGCTTCGGAGCTATTTCGGGCGCAGCCAGTGTCTTTGGAAACACTCCTCTGGACGTGATTAAGACCCAGATTCAGGGCCTGGAGGCGCACAAATACCGCAACACGTGGGACTGTGGCTTGCAGATCCTGAGGAAGGAAGGGCTCAAGGCATTCTATAAGGGCACTGTCCCCCGCCTGGGCCGGGTCTGCCTGGATGTGGCCATAGTGTTTATCATCTATGATGAGGTGGTGAAGCTGCTCAACAAAGTGTGGAAGACGGACTAAGCCTAGAGGGGCCACAAGGGGACAACCCCAGGCACCTCCGGAGTGCCCCACCACCCTTGTCTCATATGAATCCAGTGCTGTAGTGCCAAAAGGCCCCTTCCCCTGTCCCTCGAGCTCTGTGGTCTGCTGTGTGCATTGTGGCTTTCAAATCCATGTGTCCCATAATGCCATGTCCCTGTTGTGGTCTGTGACACCACCACTGTGCCCGGGTGTCTGGCCCAGCCATGGTTGGGTGTGCATCTGGCCTGTGACCCTGTGCCCACTTGTCCATGTGCTTACTGTGAGCACTGTGCCTGTGTTTCATGTTCTGTGTCATGTGACCCTGTGCTCCGCCTCCCAGGGTGCCCATGTGGCCGGGGTCCTCGGCCCTGTAGCCCTGGCCCAGTCCCAGTCCGGTGCCTTCCACCCAGCCCTGGCCTACCACAGCTGCCCCCTGGCCTCGGCCTGGCTTCACTGCATTCCAGGGGCTGCAGCCCCCCGCTTCTCCCACCATTGGCCTTAACTGGCCCTCGGGCCCTCCCTCCACACAGGACAGGGAGGCACCTGCCACTCTCAGGACCACCCTGCCAAGGCAGAATAAACTGGATCCTGTTGTTTCACATATGATTAGGAAGGTACAAATAAAGCCACAATAAGTTGTTAGTTTAAAACTACCAGGTTAGCAGAAATTATTTTTACATTTTATTATATTTAGTATTAATAAAGGTGTGGAGAAACAAATATATCTATGTGCAGTTGGTGGAACATTAAGTTAATCCAATTTCTGGAGTAAAATTTGGTAATATCCATTAAAATTAAAATGTATATACTTTGATAAACAATTTCACCTTCAGAAATTTAACCTTAATGCAAAATTGAATTTACATGAATTTAAATTTGTGTTGTCGGCAAGTACAAAAAATTGGAACAATGTCAGTGTCTATTAGAAAAATTGATATTCTAATGCCGTCAATTCTAATCAAAGTAAAAGATGGGAATTGAGATAAGATGTTATTAGTAGAATAATTGATGGAAAGACTAATAGAACAAAATGGAGAGTTCAGAAAACCTGTTTATGTGAAAATGTAATTTATTTAGAAAAAATTCACAAAAGTGAGAAAAATGTGAGGAGTTCAATTAGTGGTAGAAAGACCATTGATTGTTAACTTGCAATAAAATAGGTAAAGTTACTACATTTCATTGATTCTAACACCACTTCTCATATTTTACCAATTCTGAAATGTCTATATCTTAGAGTTAGTCGAGAGTCATAGTTTAATTAGAAACATTTTCTTTTCTTTCTCGGAGATATGTAAATTAAACTAATACTCTTAGAGTTCTATATTTAATAACATATGGTAGATCCCTACTTAACACAATGCAGGAAAATTAATCACACACATACACATACACACACACACATACACACACACACACAGGTACATGCATAACGGATATAAGCAAAGATAAAAATACAAGTAATTTTTATTTGTAATTGAGAAATTTGGCTCTAGGCCACATCCCTATATCTTATCTTTCAAACCTGTTCATAGAAATTACAAAGGCTTTACCTGGCCATGCTAATGGGTGAAAAGCTGCCCTGCACAGTTCAAGCTTGGTGTACAACCAGTGCATTGCTGCCTCTAGGGGGAGTTGCAGAGGAGGACTCAGCCTCTCGGCACCTCCCCACCCTACTGACCAAGCTCATAGGTATTCCTGCATTCCAAGCTTAAATGCCTCCATTCAGAGGCCTTCGTATTGGAAGACGATGGAGGGTGTCTCTGCTCAGACCCTTTTCAGGTGCCTCCACTGAGACCTATTTTTTGGAAGGCAGATGAGTGTGGTGTGCTTGAATGAATGTCCTAAGCTACAAACCTCTACTGCACATTACTATACTAAATACTGCAGGCAATTTTAACACAACCCTAAGTATTTGTGCATCTAAACATAGAAAAGGAGTAGTAAAAATACAATATTATGATCTTATGAGACCACGGTAGTGTACATGGGCTGTCACTGACAGAACTGTCATTCTGTAGCACACAACTGGGTATCTCAAATACTGTCAATAATTTTCTCATTTTTCTCAGAATCCCTGCTTTCATATTGTCATAAGCACTTGTTTTGTCTGATCAAAAAGTAGTTCAGCAGGGTATATATTGTGAGCCAGTTAGGGTGGTTTATCCGAGTGTGCTAAGAGAATCCATCCAGCATTCTGTTCAGGGGCACTCTAGCAGCTGTGAAATTAAAAATGTTTGCTCAGTTGCCACTAGGAAGGTCAACCTCCCCCAGCCCTCTGAGTCATGAGTCTTCTTGTGGGCGGCAGCAAGTAGGGTCATTTGGACCCTGACATCTGCTGGTATTGATGGCCCCATTTTCTCTGGCATGGAAGCTTCAGATATGTTTGGGAGCCCTGTGATCTTCAAGGAATAAATAGGCTTCACTCAAAATAGAGAGAATAGGGAGAGAAAGTGACTGACAGATTGTGCTAGGCCAGCTATTTCTCAAGGATGTTAGAAAAAATACTTTCAATATAATTTTTGGAAGATAACATCATTCAATTTCCATAAAACAAGTTGAACAAGACTAATTTCTAATTTGACAATTTGCTGTACACAGAAATTTTCAACATCACTTGAATTCTTTCATTTATTTAAAAAAAACCCTCATCTCAAAAAGTAGGGCTGATATGCACATAAAGAGGTAGCCTGGAGTGCCTTTTACAAGAGTAAATGCTTTTCCAGTACTAGATTTAATTAATTACATTAGTCTAATAAGCTCAATTTCCTATCTACTGACTTTGATGTTCAGAATTATACTGAAGTTATCTGTACAAAGTCTGTGGTGATTAGTATAAGAAATTGACTTTATAATGGTTCAAATCTTTTGATGTGCTAAATTGTGAGTTTCCCTAGAGGTATAGGTTAACTACATAATTGGTATTCTGAAATGCCAATTACTTTTTCACAAAAAAATTATCAAAATGAACATATACATGATCTCTGCCTATCTCTTCCTAAAGAGGTTGGCTTTCTCTTTGACTTACTCAGATTCTTAATGGAGAAGAAAATGTGGCCATCAACATTGGCTCCTTCCTGGCTTGGTCTAAGGACACAATTTGTCCACATTGGGCTCTTCATAGTTTTTAAGTCCAAAGTCAGTGCTCAACACACTTTGCCCCTCAATTTTCAGTTGAACTGAATGAAATGAAAAATAACTTCTCATAAAAAGGATGGGGATTGACTGAGGACTCTCAGAGATTTTGACAAGAATTCATTCCTTATGTAGAGAGCTACAGTATTCACATTTTAATTCAGTATAATTGAGTAACCCAAACGATTGAAAAATCGTCACAGAGAAGATAATAAGAGTAATTATCTTATTATAGAGAAAACAAATACTATGTAAGAGTAAATTATCTTTAAAATATCTGGAGAATACATGTAATACAAGCTTTTTTAAAAAGACAGAAACACTTATTATTCATCCCCCACACTTGGAGAGAGGTACAAAAAAATCATATTCAATTCTTTCCTTGGGAGGATCGCTTCTGGTTCTTATGTCTTTTCCTACTATTGCCTTATTCCCATCAAAACACAGACATTCTTTTCTTTTTTATTTGGTGATTTGGAAGAAAATTACATTCTTCTAGCATAGCCTCAAATCACGGCTCTGATTTTTCTTTGATGTTCAAATTACTGATTGATATGGTTTGGCTGTGTCCCCTCCCAAATCTCATAATGAATTTTAACACCCACAATTCCTGTGTGTCATGGGAGGAATTTGGTGGGAGACAATTGAATTATGGGGACAGGCTTTTCCTGCACTGTTCTTGTGATAGTGTATGAGCCTCATGAGATCTGATGGTTTTGAAAATAGAATTTTCCCTTCACAAGCTCTTTTTTTGCTTGCCACCATCCATGTAAGATGTAACTTGCTTCTCCTTGCCTTCTGCCATGATTGTGAGGCCTCCACAACTATGTGGAGCTGTAAGCCCATTAAACTTCTTTCTTTTGTAAATTTTCCAGTCTCAGATGTACCTTTATCAGCAGCATGAAAACAGACAAATACAGAAAATTCGTACCAGGGGTGGGGTACTACTGAAAAAGCACCTGAAAATGTGGAATCAACTTTGAAACTGGGTAACAGGCAGAGGTTGAAACAGTTTGGAGCACTCAGAAGAAGACAGAAAAATATGAGAAAGCTTGGAACTTCTTAGAGACTTATTGAATGACTTGTTGAATGCTGATAATGTTATGGACAATGAAATGCAGGCTGAAGTGGTCTCAGATGGAGATGAGGGACTTGTAGGGGACTGGAATAAAGATGACTCTTTCTATGTTTTAGCAAAGAAATGGGTGGCATTTTGTCCCTGCCCTAGAGATTTGTGGAACTTTGAACTTAAGAAAGATGATTTAGGGTATCTGGTGGGAGAAATTTCTAAGCATCAAAGCATTCAAGAGGTGACTTGGGGGTTGCTGTTAAATATAAGCAGTTTTAAAAGGGAAACAGAGCATGAAAGTTCAGATGCTTTGCAGCCTTACAATATGATAGGAAGGAAAATCCCATTTTCTGAGGAGAAATTCAAGCCTGCTGCAGAAATTTACATAATAACAAGGAGCCAAATGTAATTTACCAAGACAATGGAGAAAATGTCTCCAGGGCATGTCAGAGGTCTTCTCGGCAGCTCCTCTCATCACAGACCCAGAGGTCTAGGAAGAAAAAATAATTCTGTGGCCAGGGCCCCAGCCCCGCTACCCCCGGCTGCTATGTGTAGCCTAGGAACTTGGTGTCCTGAATTCCAGACACTCTAGCCATGGCTAAAAGGGGCCAAGGTACAGCTTGGGCTGTTGCTTCAGAGGGTGCAAACCCCAAGCCTTGGAAGCTTCTATGTGATGTTGAACCTGTGGGTACTTGAAAGTTAAGAACTGAGGTTTGGGAACCTCCACCTAGATTTCAGAGGATGAAAGGAAACACCTGGATGTCCAGGCAGAAGTTTGCTGCAAGGATGGGTCCCTTATGGAGAACTTCTCCAAGGGCAGCCTGAAGGGAAACATAGGGCCAGGAGACTGCCTAGTGGAGCTGTGAGAAGAGGGCCACCATCCTGCAGACCCCAGAATGGTAGAACCACTGACAGCTTGCACCATGAACCTGGAAAACCACAGACATTCAATACCAGTCTGTAAAAGCAGCTAGGATGGGTGGTATACATTGCTAAACCACAAGGGCAGAACTGCCCAAGACCATGGGAACCTACCCATTGTATCAGCATGACCTGGATGTGAGTTATGGAGTCAAAGGAGATCATTTTGGAGCTTTAAGACTTGACTGTCCCACTGGATTTTCAACTTGCATAGAGCCTGTAGCTCTTTTGTTTTGTCCAAT